TTGTTCCATGGAGTTATCCAGCGTCCAAGTCTAGATAGAATCATTTTATCAGAGACAGAGATTACCTGAAAACAATGATAGGACATGGTAAGACAAACACAATTATTTTAAATAATCATTTTAGTTGTCATGCTATGACATAACTCAGGGTAGTCTGTATGTCATGTATTAAACCATGGATGTATGTCCATGATTAAACTAAGAAAAGTGGAATAGAGTCAAGCCATATTAAAAAAATGCATTTCTTACACCCCAAAAAATGCCTGCCTCGATTTTGTCCCCTCCTGAAAAATTAATATTTAGGGTGGGGTGGAGGTGATTTGAGGATATTTTTCTAATCTAAATATTTAAAAATAAAGTTGACTTCATGTCAGATATGAAAATTCACAATATTTTGCTCAATATAAATTTTACAATGCCAACATTGGTGTTGATGTGTAGTTGCAGTTCTAAATGTAGCTCTCCTGAATTTGCTGTACTTTTGTTTGTTATTGTATACAGCAGGGCACTGGTCTCTAGCGTCAGGCAATTAGAATTTCTGGCCAAAAAAGTTGAAGACAGACACTATTCAATTTGTTTACGATACATGAACACACATGATGTCGGACTGTCATTCTATTGTCCTTGTTGGTTTTAACACCTAATAACACACTCTGAAAAATAACACAAAACAAAACTTGAATGAAACAGACATTCTAAATCAACATACACGTGTGACATGTGTATTTTATTGAAATTCTTTTAGTTGGAACAATCAAACCAGATTGGAATAAGTCATACATGTACATAAAGATAATGGAAGGGAAGACAGTGATAAATTAACAGAAGCAAGGTTTACCATCGCAGTTTAATTATGTCACCGACAAACATGCATCAAACTGTTTAAACTACACTTGCACTCTTGTATAGTAAACTTCGTTGGTGTTTTAGCTTCATGACTCATTTATAAAATTAAATTCAGAACCTATGTTGAGTCAGCAAACCAAGGAATAATTATTTTTCACTATAAATGTACTTTGCCAACATCCCATTAGAAAAAAGAACAGATTAAATTCTTGTTTCCACAAGGACTGCCAGGTCAGAGGGCAATTTATCAATATACATGTACATATTATGAAAATTAAATGCATCTATTCTTCATATCTTTTAAGCAAATTAATTTTACATTGAAATATTAATATAAAAGTTAAATAGCAATAGGACAAAAATGAATATCAATTAGCTCATGAATATTAATTAGCGATCAACACTCAAATCAAACTGGACAGAACTCTGTACCGGGTTGTTTATCCCATACCTGGTAACGTGATTTCCTAACAACAAACAAAATAAACCTAATGGGCATTTAGCAATGTGAATTCAAATCAAAGAAAGCTTAGAAAGAACTCCCATGTGCTGAGAGTATTGGAGACACATTAAATATAATTTGAAATTACTTAGCTGAAAACTAATTATGCAAATCAGAAAATTAATATGACCAGATTTGAGTGTAAAACTAATGAGGTCTGCGCAATGTAACAGAAAATCTATGTCTCCAAGTTTAATTGAAATGTGATTAGAACCAAAAAACCAAAAAATTATGAATTATTATGCTTATTAGGGAATTAATATGAACAGATTTTTACCCCAAACTAATTAGGTTTGTACATTGTCCTAGAGCATCTTTGTACTAAGTTTCATTGAAATGGAATAATTATTACCGTGAAAACTCCAAAATTTCGACCCCTCTAAAAATTCGAACGCCTATTTATTTGCCGGGTTTCGGTGTTTTATTTACCTCCAAATTTTCGACTCCACTAAAAATTGCCGACTCATTCTTATTCGAAAATTGCGACCAGTTTTAGTTTTCCCCCAAACGAAAAAAAAACGATGTGAGCGTTCAAACGGGACCTTCCTCGAAGGCATGAATCCGGGTTTCTGATTGACTGAGAGATTTTTATTTTATTGGTAACGAAAATATATTCTAAATAAACGAAGTTTCAAATAAAAACGAACACAAAAATCTCGGCATGCTGCGTTTCTGAATTGTTGATTATTACTGTACTCAGTAGTGATTATAATAATGTACACAAAATAAATTTGTTGAATGGTTATGAAATACAAATAAAAGTCAACTTAGTTTCATCGTAAGCGAATGATTCCGGTCTCGTATAAACGTTTGATGCTGTAGGATATCCGCCATGTTCTCTTAGGTCAAATAGGTCAAATCGCTAATTAACCAATCAAAAAGCTGGATGATGCCAACGTGTTCAAATTACCATAGCTTATTTAAATAGATTGATGTTGTAGTACGATATTTTGGCTTGGATTTTGATGCGAAAACGGCATGATTTTTTTTAAATAAAAAAATTAGTTGTTTTTAAAAAATAAACTGGTCATCTGAAGAATAATTTAACATTGTTCACAGTGATAACAGCTCATTCTCGAAAGGAAGCTTACCCGCTCACGCTAGTCACGATAAAAATCATACACGTGTACTCTTGAATAGACAAACGTCAATGACTACGGTAAAACTTAACTCTATTTTAGCCGGCAGGATTGATTGAAATGTCCGAAAAATGACGCCAAAATACACCTTAAAAGTCCCATTTTATTTTCTTAAATCCCATTTTATTTTTTAATCCAAGGGCGAATTTACGGCAGAATTTGGTCCCTCAAATAACGGACACGTGAGCTTTGATTCTAACCGGATACATTGCACTGGGTCGGGGAGATAGTTTGCTAAACTTCCATGATCTTTTGTCCAATGGGTACCTGTACTTCGAACATTCGCAAGTTTTCCTAGGTAGTGCGAGACAGCTTTGTCTTTTGACCTATTAGTTTTGTGCTGACCTCTTCTCCGCCTCTTGATGTTTTGTTTTGCTTGTCATAATACTCACTGATTGATGATTTTGAGTTACAACTCGGCCACGACCTTTGCTTTTACCGTGAAACATGAGGAAGTTTACGTCAATTGACGGACATTGCATTTTTTAAAAACTAATGAAGCACACTGTCTATCATCCCCATTTTTTCATTTGCTGATTTCTATTCTGAAAAATTCGACCGTCCGAAAATGCACCTTAATTTTGACTCTAAAAACACGTCACATTTCTAACACCAATTATTTAAAACCGGTCGAAATTTTGGAGTTTTTACGGTACTTTAGATATCAGTGTGAAAGCTTAAAATTTGTTAATTATGCAAATTAGTAATTAATATGTACAGATTTTAACCCACAATTATTCAGTCTGTCTATTGTCCTACAGCATCCATGTACATTCATTGATATGTGATGTATAGTACCTGAGATATCAGTGTGAAAGTTGGTTAATTATGCAATTAGTGATTATATGCACAATATTTACTGGAAACTAATTGGGTCTGCATAATTCTAGATTCATTGAAATGTGATGATTAGTACTTTAGATATCAGTAGAAAAGCTGAAAATTAATTATGCAAATTAGGTAATTAATATGCACAATTATTTACCCTAAAACTAAT